CTCTCTCTGGTTTGTCAGCCTTGGTACTATTGACTACAAACTGTAGCGCTCATGTCCCAGGGTCATTCCTCCAGTACAATTCTACTTCAATGGCAGTGTCATTTAGACATTTATGAGTGTCAAATCTGTATGCTCATTTGAGATAGCAATCATAAAACTTGAATCATTTGTGTTTGTTCTGTAAAAACAGTTACAAGTTTTGCCATTCGTGTCTTTTATCTAACTTCATTATGAATCAGTTCTCAATTATAACTTCTGTTTTTGTACTTACACATTTTTTACTCTATTGGGATGTATAAATGAGAACTCAGTAGGACGTTTCCTTTTTTAACCACCATACCCATAATCAATAGTAAAGGACACAGAAGATAGGCCACCTAGGCAACTTTGACATGTCTTGATTGGTAAAACACCAAAGCAACAGTCTTTGGGGAAAGAAAACCATTTCAAAAGTTAATGATGGTTTTTCCTTTGCTTCTTCATTTCAGCTTCGCTCAGCATTGGATAAAACTGAAGAGCTTGAAGTGAGCAATGGCCATCTAGTGAAACGGCTGGAGAAGATGAAGGCCAATCGAAGTGCTTTACTGTCTCAGCAATAATATCCAGTTTTCACTGAAAACTACAGTTTGATGGAATGAGAACAACATTGGAGATGCTTGTCTTTTTGCTGTTTGGGATGCTTTCTCATCATGCCTTCTGAGAACAAAAAAAAAACCCAAACACATGAACTTATTTGCTATATGCCACCAAGTTGTGGTTTTCTCTACGCAGATTCAATCCTGCTGCACTATCTGTATAGGAGTAGCTGACCCAAATGGCTGTGCCTGTAGATGCCCTTCCACACTGTACTTTTGGTACATTTGCAATACCTGTATACTGTTTAACAAGCACATTGGGCATCGTGTTAGTTCTTCATCCTGAAAGGCACAGCAGCCGTTTTTGCCATTTAAAATGGTGTTAAAGGTGAAACTAGGACTTGAATTTTGTCTTGCTTGAATTTAGGGGTAAAAAAGCTGTAATTTTTGAACTTCACATGGCAGTATTTGCAATTTAGTGACTACAGTAGTATATTCATAGGCTGTTCATTAACAAAACACTGTGGAACCACAAGCCATTACAAAGCAAAACGCCTTGAGTGGAAACCATGGAAGATGATGGTCTTGGAAGCAAAAGTGACCTTAAATGACTTTGCCAATAAAATGAAGGTGTTTGGAAGGTTTTTTGCACCAGTTCAATCATAAGACTATTTGATTTCAGGGTGAATAGGCAATAGCTTCACTGAATTACAGCTTTTCATGTGTATTATTTAATCCCTATATTTGGAGTTGAAGTAAACTACTTCTTTTAAAGTATGTAAAGTTGCATAAATAAACCAGAGTAAGGCCATGTTTTAAAAAGGGTGGATTGCACTTATGTAATTTCATTTAAATTGTCAAAGCAAATGTCATTGGTTTCAACAAATGTGTGAAGGGTTCTTCTGTATCAGAAATTGCCTATCAGTACTTGAACGGTTAGGAATCTACATTTCTACAGAAGATCTACCAGTCTAATCATTAAGTAGCTGAGAAGTAAAGGAGCAATTTACTTTAGAGTACATTACTACATATACTTCTTTTTCTACAAGCTCAGCAATTGCAAAACTGTTCCTTGGGTCTTTTAAAAAACAATTTTCCACTTTCTCTTCAAAAAAGAATACATAACTAATTGAAATATCTTAGGTAGGTTACAGTCTAGTGACTCACAACTAGCATTACAGCTCCACTTCATTAGAAAAGATTGTGTTGATTTAAAGCAGAACAGTAGTTATCTAAGAAATAAAGCCCAGCAATTTGTTCTCCACCCAGACAAAAATTTTAAATACATAAGGAACTATTATCTAAATCCCCCATACACTTTGTTCCGGGTATAAGATTAGGTGTCTTTACAACAACTAATTTTCCATTAATGTGACCATTCTAGACTCTCTTCACTTCTGTTGCCTGCCTACCCACTGAGCCAAATTCAGGGTCAAGAGGCCAAATTTCTCCTAAACCTCAGCTTTGGATTTTTGGTCCACACGCTACTGTTGCTTTTCTGGTCCACTGCAGAACTATTGTGATCTCTACGGCTCATTACCTCAATAAGAGAGACATATTAATTGAATGTTCCTTCTCTAGCCAGGGAAACACACTCTTCTTTCCACCAGAATGAATATATGCATCCATTGTGGAATGAGTAGATCAGTGTTTTTGAAGAGGGAGTTAAGATGAGGTTTCTGTGTGTCTAGAGAAATCATAGAAATAATGTAGGGCTGCAATGGCTCATGAGGCCATCTGAGGTAGGGATTTAAAATCCTGGTTAAACTTTACGTTAATCTAACGTTTAATCAGTTAACTGACTAAGCAGGATCCCAGCACTGGGACTGGGAGCTTTCCAGCTCAAGCAGCCCCCCCAGTTTGTGGGGCACCCCCACAGGCCATGGGCTGCTCGTGGGCACTGATTAACTAGTACCCATTACTTGTTCACGTCCCTAATCTGCAGGGTTATATATAGACCATAATTTTTTGCCCTTGTCAATCAGATACAGAGCTTTAAATGGAATCTCCATTTCCAACTGCGCTTTTATGACCAGAGTCTTCAGATGCTGAGCCAGATTTGCTGAATACCACAATCTAGATGTAGAAGCCAGACTTGAAACTTTGTGACTTTTTTATAATTTCTGGTGCACAGAACCTCTAGTAACTACAAAATACATTGAAGCTTTTATAAAACCATACCATAGTATTTTATTAACAGGTTAAGTTGTGTGATTGTCATTTGGCATTTCTTCTTGTGGTCGTGGTAAAATAATGTCTTGTCTCAAATATCAGGAGAAAAATTGGTAACAAATGTTGGGCTAAAAAATTAAAACTAATACTTGCATTGATCAGGAACTGCTGTGATGTGGCTCTTCCTACACTTAAAAGCAGAGGCGCAGTGTCTGGGACTGAGAGAGCTGGGACAGCTTATTCCTGGCTGTCACCTGGTCCCCCACTACGTGTCTGCCGCCTCCTGCCACCCTCCAAACACACCCCCTGCAGAGATGGTGCTGGAGAAGAACTGGTTCCCCTAGCACCAGTTTCTGCTCCCCACCTCTTGCTGCCTCTAATAGAGTGGGGAGGAAAGAAACTAGTCGAGTAATCACTCGACTACCTGATAAGCATCTGGGATAGTCGACTATTCGGCTGGCCACTTACATCCCTAGTTGTAGCACATTATTTTTTTTCCCCCCGATGCACACTAACAGGTCTTTAAATGATGGTAACAATATTGGTTTCAGTTGCAGAGAAGCCAGTGCATCTGCTTGGAAGTTTAAGGGAATGTCTACACAGCAGCTGGAAGTAAACCTCTTAACCCAGATAGACATACCTACTGGAATTAGTGGGCTAAAAATAGCAGTATAAATATGTGGCTTTGGCAGTAGCTCAGGCTCTTACACCCACCTGAATTTCTCTGTCTGAGCTTGGGTGTTAGGCCTGACATTTTATCAGAAGAGCCACAGCCACACTTACTTTTAGCATGCTAGCTCCAACTGAGCTACTGTGAATCTGCCTGCCTGCCTATATTGGCAGATATATTCCCAGCTGTGGTGTAGATACAGCCCAGCCTACTACTTTGGGATGCTATGTGGCAGCTCATTACAGAATCACAATCAATATTCCAATAATTGTATTTAAATTTTGTCATTTATTTTGAAATGTTTAATTTGATGGTATTAAAAAAGCCATGGCAGTATTAACCTAATTGTTTTTTAATCAGTGGTTCTGTTAAGAAAAACAAGCTCATGGAGACCTGAACTGGACTCGAGATTCATATGCAGAAATCAATATTATTTATTTAGGTATTTTTATGGTAGTGTTCTATCCTGACAAATGTCAATGTCTATATTGGAAAGTTTAGGCTTTTTAAATGACACTGTTGGCAAAAGGTATTTTTCCTCCTTTAACCAGGTATAATAATTACAATAGCATGAATCTGAGGGATAGCAGTGTTAGTATGGAGCTGCAAAAACAATAAGGCCTTGGTCCCTTAGGATTAATACATAAGCTTTTGTGGGTAAAACCCATTTCATCAGATGAATTCAATTTAAATGAAAATGTATAATAAAGCATTTCTATCTCAATGTAAATATAAAAACATCTAACTTTCCTACAGACTACTGCAGTGAGAACTGAGGCTTGAATTTTGAACAGGGTTCAAACTTGCTATAAATTGGTTTGGTGCAAAGGTCCAGTCCTTTATAAGAGGCTGGCTCAGTGCTGTACAACGAGGCACAGTTACAATCTTGAGCTTGGGAAATACCCAGAACTACAAGAGCATCGGTTCTGTGGGCTGAATCCTGTTGGTCGTGTCCCCAATAGATTCACTTCCTCCATGCCCCATGGAAGCCACTAACTTCTCATCCAAAAGGATCCTAGGAGGTAACTTATTTACCAGAATCTGATCAGGTTGGTATTGAATCCCATGTGGCCATACAAGTACCTGCCTTTTCCTATGCAGGAGTGTTTTAAAACTCTACAACCAATGCAGGGCTTGCCCCCGGTCCTCACTGGGGATCGCTCCCTCCATCTCACCCAGCTACTGGGACCGACCCCTTGCTGCCCCAGCCTGGTGCTTGTCCCTGGGGCTCCACTGCTATTGGAGACGCACGTGCCCGGGCTCAGAACCCTGGGAAGAACCGGGCCACGTGGGGCATAATTTGCACAGAGGGAACCTTGGGGAGGGTGGATCACGTGCCGCTCGGCAGCCTTCGCACGCGCCGGCGCAACGCTTCCTCCTCGCCTGCGGCCCGGCGCGTGCTGGGAGCGGCCGCTCGCTCGGCGCCCCGCTCTT